CCCCACCCCACCCCACTGCCCCGTCTCTACAAAAAATTCAAAAGTTAGCTGGGAATGGTGGCTCCCAGCTACGAGGGGGGCTGAAGCAGGAGGACTGACTGAGCCTGGGAGATCAAGGCTGCAATGAGCTGTGCACTCCAGCCTAGGAGACAGAGAGAGAGACCGTGTCTCAAAAAAGAAATTAAAAATAAATAAAAGGAAACTTCACTTGCTTATGACATTCCCTAACTACGCAGACTAGATGCATTCCCTGGATTTATATCCTTATGGTATCTATTGACTTCATTGTATTTAAGTATTTGTGTAGTTCTTTGCCTAATATCCGTATCCCTGTTCTTCAGTGCCTGTAAATGCCATAAGGGCTGGAAATCTGTCCCATATGCTAGCAGCTAGCTCAAAAAGGTGCTCAGAAATGTGTTGTGGATTCAGAGTGACTTTCCTAGGGTCACACCATTGGCAGCACCAGAATTTGAACCTAGTCTGTCTGATGTCAGGGCCTGAGCTTTCACCTTACCTGCTGTTTTTCATTCTAGGATCTTGTGCTGTGAAGACATTTCCCAAGTGCTTCATGTTAGCCAGCAAATCTGACCCACAAGGCCTGGAAAGAGGTGATTGTTAGGTTGTGCAGAGGTGGTCTTATCCAGCTCAGCGTCCCCTGGGACCCACTGTAGGACCTGAGGCAGAACTGGGGTGGACTTGGCCTCCTCCATGGCACACCGGCTGCAGATACGACTGCTGACATGGGATGTGAAGGACACGCTGCTCAAGCTCCGCCACCCCTTAGGGGAGGAGTATGCCACCAAGGCCCGGGCCTATGGGCTGGAGGTGGAGCCCTCAGCCCTGGAACAAGGCTTCAGACAGGCGTACAGGGTCCAGAGCCACAACTTCCCCAACTACGGCCTGAGCCATGGCCTCACCTCCCGCCAGTGGTGGCTGGACGTGGTCCTGCAGACCTTCCACCTGGCAGGTGTCCAGGATGCTCAGGCTGTAGCCCCCATCGCTGAACAGCTGTATGAGGACTTCAGCCGCCCCTGCACCTGGCAGGTGTTGGATGGGGCTGAGGACACCCTGAGGGAGTGCCGCTCACGGGGTCTAAGGTTGGCAGTGATCTCCAACTTTGACCAACGGCTAGAGGGCATCCTGGGGGGCCTTGGCCTGCGTGAACACTTCGACTTTGTGCTGACCTCTGAGGCTGCTGGCTGGCCCAAGCCAGACCCCCGCATTTTCCAGGAGGCCTTGCGGCTTGCTCATATGGAACCGGTAGTGACAGCCCATGTTGGGGATAATTACCTCTGCGATTACCAGGGGCCTCGGGCTGTGGGCATGCACAGCTTCCTGGTGGCTGACCCACAGGCACTGGATCCCGTAGTCAGGGATTCTGTACCTAAAGAACACATCCTCCCCTCTCTGGCCCATCTCCTGCCTGCCCTTGACTGCCTAAAGGGCTCCACCCCAGGGCTTTGAGGCCGGTGAGGGAAGTGGCTGGGCCCTAGGCCGTGGAGAAAACCCTAAACAAAGCTTGGAGACAGGGAGCCTCTTTCTCTACAGCTCTGGACTTTTCCCCCTCTGCCTGCAGCCTTTGTCACCTATTCTGATAATAAAGCAGTGAGTGCTGAGCTCTCAGCCTTGCCCCACTAACCAGCTCCTAGCCTCTGCCTTCCCTCATTCTCATTCGCACCCTTTTCCACTAGGAGGCCTCTTCACATCCAACAGGATTCACAGAAGGCCCAACTAGCTTCAAAACCAGGCACTTTCAAACTTGGTTTTAGCAGCAGGGGCCTTTTGTCATGGGAGGTCTGAAACCCCATTATGCAAAACTAAAAACAAACTGAAAAACTGCTGGAGTTGAAGCAGAGGTCCTAAGGTCTCTCTTTCAGCTTCTGAAACACCCTCCCTCTGGAAGCCTGGGGTCAGCGCTTAGTTTGAAAAGCAGGATGCTAAGCTGTCCTGTAGGGACACTGTCCATTAGTACCACATAGTACGAAGAGAATTTAAGCAAGGAACCCCATGACAGTCATGAGAAGAAATCCTGTTGACATATGCCTGCCCCGTGTTAGGTAATGTGCTAAGTTATTTATATGCACATATAACCCTCAAAGCTACCTCGTTGGGCCTAGGTGGTTTGACCCCCACCACAACTTGACGAATGAGGAAACTGAAATTCAGAGGTTAAGCAGCCTGCCCGAGGTCACAGCCAGCATGCAAAGAAGCCAGGATTTCAATTTAGGCACATCTGAATCCAAAGCCCATTGGCTTGACCACTAGGTTGTAAGTAGATGGGGATGCTTGTCATGTGAAACATGGTACAGTGGAGATTCTGGGAGAATAGGGGAGGTGTCCTAAAGAATGTCAATCTCGAAGGGCACCTCTGTGGCAGAGACCAGTGTGGAGGTAGGAAAGTATGGGGAGCAAGGACTGGAGTGTAGGGAGTAGGTTTGGGGGAGGGGGTAACAATTGGAGGTTGAAGTAGTTTGGGTTTTTCAATTCCTTTTCTCACTTTATGAGGCTGAGGCAGGAGGATCACTTGAGCTCAGGAGTTCGAGACTAGCCTGGGCAACATGGTGAAACCTCATCTCTACAAAAAATTTAAGAACTAGCCCAGTGTGCTGGCACACACCTTTAATCCCAGGCACTCAGAAAGCTGAGGCGAGAGGATCACTTGAACCCAGGAGTTCTGTTACAGTGAGCTACGTGCCACTGCACTCCAGCCTGGGCAACAGAGTGAAACCCTGTCTCTAAAAACAAAAACAAAAATTTCTCTTCCTGCCTCCCCACCTTCCCATACCTTTCTACTTGGTATTTGCTGGACATCTCTGTGCCTTGCCCAGTGTCAGGGGATGCCACACTTTGAAAACATAGGTACACTCCTGGCAGTGTGTTCTGGTGCCAGCAGCCCGGGAGCGTTCTAGAGTGGATGCTGAATTGAGGAGTGGCACTGGGGGTGGCTTTAGATGAGCAGGGGGATGAGGAGGACATTCCTGCAGCAGGCCCATGAACTGTGGAACGAAGGCTGCTATGAGGAGCCGGGTTGGTGGGTTGGGAGAAACATGGCATGGGGACTTTTCAGGTGTCAAGAAAAGCCTTGGCTTTGACCCAGATTTTTGAGCAGGGGCTGTGCCCAGACAAAGGCAGGGAAGATCTCTTTGGGACTTGACCAAACCCCTTTTGGTCTGTCTTCCTTGGGACTGGCACCAAGGCCAGGCAGCAGTAATTTCCTTTTCTTTCTTTCTTTTTTTTTTTGGAGATGGAGTCTCACTCTGTTGCCCAGGCTGGAGGGCAGAGTTGCAATCTCGGCTCACTGCAATCTCCGCCTGCCAGGTTCAAGCGATTCTCCTGCCTCAGCCTCCCGAGTAGCTGAGATCACAGGTGTGCACCATTATGCCCAGCTAATTTTTTGTATTTTTAGTAGAGATGGGGTTTCACCATGTTGGCCAGGCTGGTCTCGAACTCCTGACCTCAGGTGATCCACCTGCCTTTGCCTCCCTTTGAGACTGTCTCAAAACAAAAATTAATTAATAAACACTGGTTTTCAAACTGCTCTGTGGCTCCCAAAGAAAGTAGGGAGGGCTCTGCCTTTCATCTTCTTTGGACCCAGGAGCCTAAAGTTGTAGGTAAGATTACTTTAGAAGAGAGTTCCTGGATAAAAGTTTGAAGACCACTGTTCTAGGGTGAACTTCTCATGGAGACAAGCATAAAGGGACTTGCCTTGGGTCTTGGTAACATCTCCAGGCTCTCTCTGCTACACTGAGCTGCCGCCCACTTATTTCCGAGAATGCAATAAGGGTATGAAGACAGGCCAGCGTACGGTATACACCCAATTAGCAACAAAGAACATGGAATAAATCTTTAATGCTTTCAAGACCTTTAATAATGCCCACGTGCCCTGAGGTTGGCCCTCTTGCTCCCTCAGCTCTTTCTGGCTTTAAGCCATCACCCCAAGTATGCAGTTTATTTTAGAAGGGGCCATCAGGTAGGGAAACTTATCAGCTTCTCTAAGGGAAAAGGCCATCCCTGCTATTACCGGTGGGCACAGGCTGGAGCTCAGTCGGCAGGTGTGAGACAGATGCTGATGATGGGGCTGCAGTCAGGTTACCTGGAGACACGATTCCCTGGTCCTCTGAGGGCCTAGGCAGGACATGGGGGAGGACACAGTCCCCTAGGACAGAGTCCGCTGGCCAGGAGTAGCCTTTCAGGTTGCTCTTGTGTGCTAGAAAAAATATTTTCTCTATGTGCCATGTCATGAAAAAGCAGCACTGAATTAATTGGATGCGGAAACGTTAGCCACAGGCTCCTCTGCCTGTGAAGAGAAGCACTTCTGCATGTGCAAAGCTGGAGCAGGAGGCTGAATGGCAGTGCTTCTCCAGAGACCACCACATCCAACCAAGTCACCTGTCCACCTACATTCACTTATCCATCTATCCATCCACTCACCTGCCAAATATTTATTGCATACTCACTATGCACCAGGCACCATGCTGGATGCCAGAGACAAAGTGAAGACACCCTCAGAGGGGCAGATGCATGGTGGATTTGGGAGACTAAGGCCCAGGGAACAGTGGGTTCCCCATAGATAGCCAGCATTCAGAGCAGCAATCTCCAACCCTTTGAATGCAAGGACTTTTTTGCTTATCTGTGGTGGCAGATATCACGAAAATGTATAAACAGACTTTTTTTTTTTTTTTTTTTTTTTAAGCTCATCAACTATCGTTAGTGTATTTTATGTGGCCCAAGAAAATTCTTCGAATGTGGCCCAGGGAAGCCAAAAGTTTGGACACCTGTGATTTACAGGTTGTGCCTAGATCTGAAAGAGATCCCCATCCCTCCTAAAGCTGCCCACTGGTTGTGGGCCTTGTTTCCCTTAGAAACACCACACACATCATTTGGGAAAAGGACACTGAGTAGAAACATGGCCTGAAAGGATGGTGGGAGGTGGACCTGGCTTCCTGTGGCCAGAGGTCAGCGGACAATGGAAATGGTCTGATCGGCCACAGCAAAGACTGGGAAGAGGGGCCCCGGGAAGGACCCATGATGGGTATACAGCACTGTGCCGGAGGCTGGCTCATAGAAGAGCAGCTCCCGAGCCTGCAAGTCCAGCAGTACACCCAGCTGGGCTGGGCCCCGCAACAGCCCC